CAACGTTTCAGTCTTGAGACATTGGGTTTGGCACAGATGGGGGAATTTCCTCTTCCTGAACCTCCCTCCTGATTGCTCACAGTCTTTGTTCAAACAAGCTTTTCCTCTCACTCATCATTAATAAACATCAAGCCCTCTTGGTGGCTGTGTGGGTTAGGCACTGGGCTGCTACCCACAAGAGTGGCGGTTCAAACCCACCTGCCACTATGCAGGAGAAAAGTGGAGCTGTCTGCACCTGTGAAGATTTGCCATCTCACAAACTCTATGTAGGGTCATCAGGAGTCAGAACAGATGTAGGGGCAGTGGGTTGAGTTTGGTTTTTATAACTTCCCAATACCTACCCTCCAAAATAAATCCCTTTTCAATTGGTAGGACTATAAAAAACTGTGAACACAGGAAAAGGCTTCTAGCAGGGTCAGCTGAAGACCTCTAGAGATCCTTAGAATTGTGGAGGCAAACCCCCAACATAGACTTAAACATATGATGTGATGTATGCCAGAAATTACGTTTCTTCTGTCTCGATTTCTTATAAGGGAAAACCCCTGAATACATTTGTAGTAACAGGACTTTTGTCATGTTTTCTTGTCCCTGTTTTGGACTTTAGCTGCCTACAAAATGATCCAGTAGCTGCTGGGCGGTCAGCTTCACTGCTAAGTGGATGATCAGAATTTATACATCTGAGAAATTGCAAAAGACAATGTGTTGCGAGCCTTTAATACACTCCCCCAAACGAATGAAAACGTGAGTTGTATAATCACCTATAGGGCTGCGGTTGCTGGGGTTACTGAGGTATCACAGCTCTGCTCTGAGTGACCCCTGACAAGCTATATGTAACTCCATTTAAATGGTGTTCCTTTTACTATTATCTTTCCCTTTTTGGTATTGAGACTTTAAAGTTGAATTTTCTACAACTATTCAAATACATTGTGTCTTATTCCCTGTTTTGGCAAAAGAAGGAAGAAGGAGGAGGAGGAGGAGAAGATTATTATCTAATTTAAAGCCATGTGTCAATGGACTCTTGGCTCGCTCAACTAGTGTGAATGAAAGCGATGCCGGCCAAAAGTCTCGTGTAGAAGAATGGAGAAAGAAGGCTCACTCTGGGGCACAATACATGCTTTCCTACTCAATTCATTATCCAGTGCAATTATGTGTGCTCTCAATGAACCCAATCCAGGCATTAGCACCGACCAAGCTAATGTTTTAGAAACAGGAGTCCTTAAAGACGTATTATACTAAGCAACATGTTCAGCCTGGTGAGGGCAACTCAGCAACGTCACCCGCAAATATTTCGAGTGGAAGAGGGCCAGCGGCAAACATCTGGCAATGGAAATCATGTGGAAACTCAATACTCATCTTATCCATGTACACCGGTGAGTAGGTAAGAGCTACCAACTCGATGGCATCTAACGACAAGACTTCTTCTTGTTAGGCGCCCTTGAGTTTAGCAACCCTATGTACAACATAGCGAGACACTGCCTGTCCTGTGACATTGTCACAGTTGTCCCTGTGCTGGAGGCCATTGCTGCAACCACTATTTCAGTTCATGTCCTTGAAGGCCTTCCTCTTTTTCGCTGCTCCTCTGCTTCACCACGCATGATGTCCTGCTCCAGGCGCTGGATTCTCCTAACATGTCCACAGTACGTAACATGAAGTCTCTCCATCTCTACTTCTAAGGACCACTGTGGTCACACGTCTTCCAAGACTTACTGACTATTTAGTGACAACATTGTCAGCAACCTCACTGACTTCTTCTTTCCAAACCAGTCTAAAGTATTGTGGGCTGCTGGTGAGAGACAGAAAACAGAGAACATATCTCCTTGTGGAATCGGGTCTTGTCTCATAATAGGCTTCATCCTGTCATATAACTTTAATAGTTCTTTGCCTTGTGACAAAGGTTGGTGAGATGTTCAGCTCTAAATGCATTCATTAGTCTTGCTAGATACCTACCAAGTGCCGTGAGTTGATTTAGGCACTGAAGAATCAGTTATGACCAGGAGAGCCATGGTCTGACTCCTTGGTGCCAACATTCCCCTTTAGAGGTGATTAACATAACCCGAGTCCTCTCCTCCTAACTCACTGCCATTGAGTCAATATGCTGCCCCACAGTGACCCTACAAGGGCAGGGTAAAACTGCCCTGTGAGTTTCTGAGACTGTAACTGTTTAGGAGAGTAGAAAGTTCCATCTTTCTCCCATGGAGCGGCTCAGTGGTTTTGAACTTGAGACCTTGAGGATCGCAGCCCAACACGTAACCACTACACCACCAGGGTTCCTTATGAGTCCTATCCTAGCAGAGCACATCTCATCAGAGGATGCTGTGTTTGACATCTCATCCTCCCACAATGAGCCAGAGAGGGCACGTTCTTTCATAACTCATCTTATATCACAGGGGCTGTCTTGGATTGAATGGTGTCTCTGCCCCCAAAGAGGTGTCAGCTTGGGTCATGATGCTCTTATTTGGCATTTTGTAAAATTCTTCATGAGACGATCACACGTGATAAACCAATAAAAGGCTTGAGGGTGGGATCTAACACCTTTAATCCCATCACAATGCAGGGGAGGGGAGAGGGCGTCTCCCTGGAGTGTGGCCGATAAAACGTTGTCTCTTAGAAGAGATGAAGGAGAACCATTATCATCAAGAAAGAAGAACTGAGAGCAGAGCTTGTCCTTTGGGCCCGGGGTCCCTGTACTGTGAAGCTCCTGGATGCCAGGATCCTTTGGAGATCTTCCAGGATCTTCTCCCAGAGCTGACAGAGGGAGAAAGCCCTCCCCGAGACCTGGTGCTCTGAATTTGGCCACCTAGCCTCCCAACCCGTGCAAGAATCGATTTCTGTTTACATCAGTCACTTATGGTATTTCTGTTATAGTAGAACCCTGGACTGCGACGCTAGTCTGTTCTTGAAGGAGCGTTGAGATGAGATGCAGTTGAGTTCTGAATCATAATAACTGAAAATGGATATTTTAATTACAAAAAAACCCCTGAAAATGGATTAATCTGTTTTCAACCATCAGGTTTTTACCCTAACCATGCCTTTTTATACAAAACATTACACAGGAATTTCAAAGTAAATAAGTTCAGCGCTAAATAATATAATTTAAATAAGAAATAACATTTTTAAAAGTTTTTAACAACTACAGTATGGTCCATACCTTGAGATGGATGAGGATCTGGATCTGTGGACATGGATGTGGAGAGGAGGGATGGAGAGAGAGTCATTGTTTGGAAGGGTAATACCCTTCCAGAAAATCAACTGGGAGCTGCTTTTCAGGAATTTTTTCCCTTCTTTGCCTTTTTTCACTAGGACCTGGCTGGCTTTCTCTAAAAAAAAAAAAATCTGTCTAACGTGGTCTGCTGTTGGCGTTTCCTTAACTGTTTTCTACAAGAGTTTATTGCATTTGTATTCTTTAAAAATTGTAATCATGGTGGATCTCAGCAAATTAAACTGGGACGTAAAAAAAAAAAAATTAAACTGGGACGTTAAATCAGTCACAC